CTTGCCTTGCATGCTCAAGGCCCTGGGTTCGATTCCTCAGCACCACATAAGCAAAAAGAAAAAGCCGGAAGTGGCGCTGTAGCTCAAGTAGTAGAGTGCTAGCCTTGAGCTGAAGAGCTGAGGGACAGTGCCCAGGCCCAGAGTTCAGGCCCCACAACCAGACCAAAATAAATAAATAAAAATAAAAAAGCTCAAGGACATCACCCAGGCCCTGAGTTCAAGCCTTATGACTGAAACAACAAAAATAAAATAAAGATTTAAAAAAATATATCTGCAGCAATGTAAGGGCCACACCTCTATTCCCTGAATCTATGAATCAGACCTTGTGATTAAGTTGGTTTACAATCTTAACCTGGGCAAGGATCCCAGGCCTCTTCTTACACACAGGGTTCAAAGTTGTCAGCATGCCATTCCCATGCTTTAGCTCCAGTCAGAATCCATCTCAGCATTCCCTTTCACTTTACTATTCAAATGACCGCAACATAGCAGGTGTCCTGAGCTGCGCAGAAGCCTTCAAAGCCTGGTAAGAAGTGTCAAGCCCTCTGGGCTCCCAGAAACCCATTTTCCTTTCTTATTTCCTAACTGAAATGCCAGCCAATTCAACACACCTCCTTTGGACATCCTAAATATATTGGTCCATTGACCAAAACTCAACTCTTTTCTTTTTCTCATTCTCTTTGATGAGACTTCCTTCACCATCCTGGGAACTGGTTCCCATGAGTCGATCATCATTCAAAGCGGTGACTTTTGGAGGCGTGGAAGGTTGAGTAACCACAGGCTGGAGGGCAAATAAAAGGGAAGGAACACCCCACACCATTAGAGCCACCTGCTCCAGGGACAGGGTCTTGCTTCAGGATTTGGTCGTTGAAAGGATTACAAAAGTTTCTGCTTTTGTTTTCAGCCTCTAGGCTTTCCTGACTTGTAGTTTGTTCTCCGCATTCCTTCTTTGATTTGCTTTAGTGGTTTTGGGGTTTGAACTCAGGGCCTTATGTGAACGATATTTGCTTTATTTTTCAGATAGGGTCTCATCTTCTTTTCTCCTCCCCGCCCCCCACTCCAAGGCTGGCCTAGGACTTTGATCATCCTACTTATCATATATTTGGCATAGTTGGGATTGCAGGCATGTGCCACCATGCCCAAACCCGTTCTCTACACTCTTACAAGAGCAGCCTTTTTACTAAGTAGTCCAGTAATGGTCCCTTGCACAGAACCCTCCAGGGACTCCCAGAACAGACTCAAGAAGAAAGCATTCTAACCACACCAACCATCTCAGAAAGGTGACACTACTTTGATTGCTAGAATATGACCTGTGGAATTGTATACATTTGTTCATATAGGTGCAAGCTATTTAACAAAATAAACTTGGCAAAAGTGATTCATCAAAAAGGTTTCATCACAACTTAAACACTTCTGCTCTTCCCAAGACACTGTTTTGTTATATTTATATTTATTTTTATTTTTTGTGCCAGTCCTGCAGCTTCAGCTTAGAGCCTAGGTGCTGTCCTTGAGCTTTATATGCTGAAGGCTAGTGCTCTACCACTTTAGCCAAAGCTCCCCTTCTGGTTTTTTGGTGGTTAGTTACAGACAAAAGTCTCACGGGCTTTCCTGCCCTGGCTGGCTTTGAACTGCCATCCCCAGATCTCAGCCTCCTGAGTAGCTAGTATGACAGGTGTGAGTCACCAGTCCTTGGCTATAAGACACTGTCAAGCGAATGAAAAAAATAAGCTAGAGTCTGAGAAAACATGAGAATTGTATATCCAATAAAAGCTTTATATCCATAATATTTTTTTAAACTCTTAAAGCTCAGGGTAAAAAGTCTGAACAGACATTTCACCAAAGAAGATATATACATAGCCAGGAAGCACATGCAAAAATGATCAGTGTCATTAGTTCTTATGAATTAGATAGGAAATACCACTCAGAAACTCCTATGTTGAAGGCTTGGTCCCGAAAGCCAAGTCAGAGGTGAGGCTTATGGGAAATAACTGGATGACGAAGCTCTGACATCATTGATTAATACACTGATAGATTCAAATCTGATGGCATTTTTCAGGAGGTGGTGGAAAGTAGGAGGCGGAGCCCAGTTAGAGGAAGTAGGTCTCTGGAGACGTGTTCTTGAAGGGAACTCTTTGTCCTCACAGCCCTCCTTACTCTCTGCTTCATCTTGTCCTTCCATTTTGATGTTCTAATTCATCACTGATCCAGAAACAGAGCCAAGCAATGATGGATGAAAACCTCTGAGAGTGTGACCCAAAATAATTACTTCCTCCTGGTTTTGTGTGTGTGTGTGTGTGTGTGTGCGCGCGTGCGCGCGTGTGCATGTGTGCATGCATACATGCACACACCCCAGGCCTGGGGCCTGAAGTTAGGGCCTGGACACTGTCTCAAACTTTTTAGTGCTCCACCACTTGAGCCACAGCTCCACTTCCATCTTTTTCTATAGTTAATTGGAGGTCACCGTTTCACAGACTTAACTGTCTGGGCTGGCTCCGAACCTCAATCCTCAGTTCTCAGGCCCCTGTGTAGTTATGATTACAGGCAAAAGACACTGACACCTGGCTAATCTTTTCTCCTTTAAGTTGATTTATTATGCAGCGAAGGGGTAACATTGTCCAAAAAGAAATGTACTCTTTACCTGACTCATGTAATTATAACCCCTGTGGTATAACATCTTTATAATAACAATAAAAATACTTAAAAAATAAAAGTTACTATGAAAGGAGTTACCAGGATAAAAAAAAAAGTAGATCAAAACTATGAGAGACTAGCAACTCAGGAGGCTGGGATCTGAGGATTGCAATTGGAAGCCAACCTCTGGGGAAGGAAAGTCCATGTGACTCTTATCTCCAACAAAGCACTCAGAAAGAGCTGGGAGTGGCGCTGTGGCTCAAGTGGTAGAGAGTTAGCCTTTGAACACAAAGAGGCTCAAGGACAGTGCCCAGGTCCTGAGTTCAAATCCCAGGACCAGCAAAAAAATAAAATAAATAAGATAAAAATCTGCATGTGAATGTTGAAAGCTGCTTTACACATAAAGAGCAAACTGTGAAACCAATAATTCTGTCCATCTACACATTGATAGACACTGAGTATGAGGCGTGGAATGAAAGCAACTCAGCAATAGAAGAGAATGACCTTGTGTTGTTTTTGTGCGTCTAGGAGACAGGCTCTCCTGACATATCCCTGGCTGGGCCTGAATTGGATATTCTCTTACTTCTGTCTCCTGAGTCCTGGGAATAGCCTCAGTGTACCAACACAGGGGGACAGGAGTGAACTACCCATACAAGTTACAAAGTCAAATACATTCTCAGAAGAATTATGGAGTGAAAGAAGCCAAACTTACTCTATTATGTACAATTCTAGAAAGGGCTTGGAATGAATGTTAACAGAAAATAGATAAGGAGTTGCGGGGGGGGGCAGAGTAGGCAGTTGGGGTGTGGGGGGGTGGATTTTGTGAGGAAGGCGAACTCTTAGCTAGTGATGGATGCTTCCTGTCTTGGTTTCGGTGAGCAAGTGCCTTTTAACCTCTACAATGGTCAGCATGTATAGCCTAAATATATTCACTTTGTCAATTATGCCTCAGGCTGTTTTTCTTTTTTTAACAAACAGGAGCTACGATGGCAATAACCCCTTTGTGCAGTGGAAGGGCAGGGTGGTGGGTGGAGAGCAGAGACCTGCCCAGGTCGCGCTTCTGTGACTTCCAGGTAGATATTTGCTCTTCGCTGGTTCACTTCCAACCGCATGCCAGGGAGCTGCCCGGCTGGCTACTGGCTATGTTGGGCATCTGTGGAATGATTCGTGGCTAGCCAGCTGGGAGGAAATCAGCAGGTCAGGAATATAACTCGGCTGGTCGGCGATGAGGGGAAAACCGAGGGTGATGGCAGTTTCAGGAAAATGAAACTTCCTCTGACCTCCGCTAAGCGGTGAGGTTCAGGCAAGACAGACAGCCAAGGGTGTGCAGTGGACAGATTCTCAGCAACCCGGGGGGGGGGGCGAGGGGAGGAGGGACCAAACGGACCGGATGCTTCAAAACCCAGAGCACTGGCATCTCTCATGGGTATCCATGGACGCCCCCAAATCAGGTGCATTATCTCAGAGTGGGAGAGAGAAAGAGCAGGCATAACTTGAACCAGATACTGACTCCTCTGTGTGTGTGTGTGTGTGTGTGTGTGTGTGTGTGTGTGTACTAGGTTTGAACTTAGCGCCTGGACACCATCCCTTAACTTTTTCGCCCAGGACTGGCGCCTTACCCACGGCAGCTCAACTCCACTGGAGATCGAAGGGTCTCACGGCCTCTTCTGCCCGATCTCAGCCTAGTGAGGAGCCGGCGGCATAACAGGTGTGCGCCCTGGGCCAGACCGTGCCACCGACGATGGCGCTGGGACAGGAGCTCCGCCACCCCCGTGGCTCCCCGCTCCTCCCTTCCACAGCTCCCCCGACGAAAGTCCTGGGCCACGCATCCCATCCTCCCCCGCTGAGGTTCCATCTCCGCGCCCCCAGGTGGTCTGAAACCCCAAAAGATCACCGCCACTCCTCTGCGCCCTCCGCTTTCCTCCGGAGCTCGGGCTTCCAGGAGGCTCCTCACCAGCCCAGCTCCCCGACAGTCCAGGGTAAAATGTGCAAGTCGCCCCGCACGTCCCTGTCTCTCCGGCCTGAAAATCTAGGGAGGGCACCCTGCACCACCCCTCCATCTCCACCCCTCGGTCAGGGCGCGCGGCGATTCAGACCCGGATCCCCAGCGCGGCGGTGAGGCTGCGGGGCCGACGCGGGGCCGGGCGGACGATGGCGCTCTAAGCCGCCGCCTTCTCCACGTGCGCCTCCCGCCGGGCGCCGCGCCCCCGCCCCCCCTCCCCCGCTCGGAGCGGGTGCGCACTGCCTTCCACCGGTGCCCGACTCCTGGGTCATCTCCAGTTAGATGGGGCTCCTGGGGCCGCCCCGATCGGCGCCCCGACCTCCCTCTCCCCCCAGGTTCTAACCCAGCCTGGGCGCACGCCGCTCCCTACCGGGTGTCCCCAGCGGCCAGAGCAGCAGCAGCAGCAGCAGCGGCGGCGGCGCGAGGAAGGCGTGGACCGCACCGCGCCGG